TCTAGCTTCATTTCCGATGCTCTCTCTGAGTTTTCGAAAAATGCAGTCTTTAAACATTTCAAAACTACGAAGCTTATCATAGAGATATTTGCCTAAAACAAAATATCTTCTAAACATCAACTCTTTCAAAAAAGGATTGTATTTTTTTAAGAAAAAAACTTGTTTTCGCGTTACTTTTTGGTTTAATTTAATGCAGTTTAAAAAATAACACTTTCTCAAAAACCACACAATTGTTTTCTTTAAATTTCTTTCCTCAGATATAAAAAAGGGACGCTTAAAAGCATGCCATGTACCGCATTTTCGTTGAATTCTCTGAATTTTTGAAAATTACATGTTGTAAATAATGGGTGAGACAATTAAATTTTGTGTCTGCCTAAGTGAGTACGCTAGACCGACTGTATGGTGTAGCCGTAAAGCGCCTGGCGAGTTAACTTGATGGACCTGAGTTCGAGTCACGACGCGAAAATTTTCTTTCTGGTTGAAAACACATTTGCAGATTTATGTAGTAGTTGCGGAGCCCTTACCAATAATTTGTTGAATGTGTTGTGGTAGCACCACAGGTTTAATTTTTGGTCGCTCAAAAGCATTCATTCCGAATTTGAAGTTCAGTAATCAGTCCAGAGGTTTTAAAGGTTTTGTGTCACATAGAAACATTTGTACTCTTGCTTTTACACAATAGCTACGCATATTATTTTATCCATATCTCGCAAAAACATGCAGTACCAAACTGCTTTATTTAAATCATCTTTATAATGAAGATGCTAATCTATATTAAATAATGCATTAGGTTTTTTGTTTATCTCTTTGGTTGGCTGGTTGTTTTTTTCCAGTTCTCACAATCAATTGATCAAATATGGGTTGGTGCCTTACTTGCTTCTGAATCAGTAAATGTAGTGCCCCCGCCCTACCCGGTTTCAAAAATGGAATACAGGTTTAACATGGCTTGCTGTTAAATAAGTAAAAAATAGCTACGCATAAAAAATAATGTAATCGTGAAAATGACTCCATTTTTTCAAAGTTAAGGTTAGTATGTTTGTTTCAGACACGAAGAGAGAATAGAGAATCGATGTAAAACTGTTCGGCTTGATATCCACATGAATAACATTCCCTAAACATTCTGGCGCTATCTTATTTATTCTATGTCCGACTCTGCACTGTGAAGCAGGTAAGTCCATCTTAAGAACAGAACGGTGGAGAGAGCACTACAAGATGCATGTAGAATGTTACAATATATCAAGTTCTTGTGCAGTAGGTGACACGAATGCTATTGGAAAACAGCGAAGGCCACGACGTTTTTCCGCGCTGCGGGAGATAACACTCGTGGCGCTGTCAGCAGAAGGGAGAAAATGCTTATAAGCACGGCAGGCTGCAATGATACGAGGAAATCTACATTCTGCTGCTCCCACTACTTACTTTGGATTCTGTTCGAGGTATGAGTGACGTTTGGTAAACAATCCCAGCGAGCAGCCATCTCATAAACAGATTTATATCAAATATATTTACTATATTTAACATTATAGTTCTAAACGAATAAACTACTTTCATGAACAATGATTGTTCATGTTCTAGAAGAAAAGGTGTTTCGAATAAAAGAACTATTAAAGGGGAAAAAAATACGAGACATTAACTGATCGATTGAATACTAATACTTCAAATATTGCTTGATTCTGTTTAACACAAAGTTCCAAATAACTGCCTGAGCATCAATTACTTTCTCTCATAGAATCACGAGTACATACTTTACAATACAGTCAAATACATAAATGTTAAAGAATTAACATTTAATCCTGTGTAATGTCAACGGTTTAGAGAGATGAAATGAATTGGTTTTATGATGTGTTTTTTTTAAATTTTGCCTTACTCAAAACATTGACAATGAATTAAGTATGTTTTACCAATGAGCATCTAAAAAAATATTAGTTTGTACGTTAGTTACATGAATGCAAATTAACAAAATATTGTACAAGATAAGATTAATTAATTATAACGGAATAAATTATGCAATATATTTCGAAACATTCATAAAGTGTTTCGCAGCGTTTAATAAGTTTTTCTCAGTTTTAAAAATACTCTAGACTCATATTCATCATCATATTAATAATCGAGTTTATGGACTCTCTAAATTGACTCTCTTTCCAATGTTTAAATGTCGGACATCATCTTCGTATCTCTCAATTGACTAGTTTTGTCAACTTATTATTCTGTTCTTGAATTCGGAGTTTGTTATTTTTTGTATATCTGATCATTTTTAGATCGTAACATCTGCAGATTAACACACTTAGACTTGAATAACTATTTTTCAGTTATTAACTTTTTTCCATTTCTACCCATTTACCGTTAGGAATGAATAAGAGAATAACATTTGAAGAAGTTTCGTTGGAACTGTTTTCCTTGTATCTTTCCCAAATTTCATAAAATGACTAATGAAGTACGTATTATATAGAAGTTAATTTTGACTGACATAAAATGAAGGCATAATTCGGGTCATGAAACATTTCACATTATCAGAAACAACTCGAAAAGCATCGGATGTTAACGTCAGTTAGTCAAGGGACTTAAGAAAACATGGGATATCTTTTGATCACCTGCGAACCCCATTTAAATAATGAACTGCGCCAGGCCAGCGACTTTATCATCGCATCGAAACAACAAACAACAGCTGTCGATCGAGAGGGAGGGCTGAAGAAATGGAGGAGAGGGAAGAGCGAGGGAGTCGGGGAAAGCTGAAGGGGGAGAAAGGAGGGGGCGGTCGATGGCGGCGGTACCGCGGGCAGCCACCGCCTTCCAAAAGCGTCCCGCAGCTAGGCAGGCAGAACAGCTCGGGGAACTCAATCAAATGCCCCTCTCTTCTCACCTGCTTGCGCCGAATTAACCCAATGAGATGTCTAATTGTGATATGGGCTAAAACAAACCTTGTTTCAAAAGGGGAAAATCAATCGCTGTTTTCCGACGCACGATAACATAACTTTACCTTCTTACCTTTGTAAGGTGTGATAACATAACTTTACATTTCTTTAGCATAACATTTCTTACCTTTGTAATGTTCCTTCGTCAGGACGAGAATGTAAAAAAAAGATAATTCACATGCCTCAACTTTCAATGTGTGTTAAATTATTTCTCATTAGCTAAACTGAAATTCTTTAAAATTATGTTCTGGAAATTGGGTTTTACATTGTTTGTGCAGAAATCAAACTCAAAAAATTAAACATATTATGATATTTATATTTATTTACTAAGATCTACAAGTTTTGTTGAAGGCTTTCTGTCATGGACTAAAAAGACAAGACTAATTGGTGAAAGGATTTAATGAAATAGCAATAAATATTCAAGCATAAACAGGATAAATTAAGTATACTAGTATGAGTATAGAAGTAGAGGTTTTAATAAATGCATTGCAATAAGGAAACGAACTTCCTTAGAAATGCATTTCGGTTCACTCTTGAATAGGAAATAGGAGAATTTTGTTTTCGTATCTGGCACCGGAAAGTAGCATTTGAAGCTAAGGGAACATGGAGGATATGTCGATGGAATGTATTTTCAGTATTTTTTCTAGTTATTTCTCGCACAACGGGATGAAAACAAAGGGAATGTGTTGAGGAGTAAATATTAAAATTGGACTGCATCTGGTAAACGCGAGTTTGGGCTTAATGTATTTGGGTTTGTGACTATAAACTATTTTTTGTCAAAAAATATATGAAATAAATACCCAGTTGCTGATTAATTTTCTCTAAAGCACCTAGATTTATTTTTAAATTGTATTGAAATTTTAATATTCGAGTAATTTCATGCTCAATGGTAAAATACCCTTATATTCATGAGTGGACTGCGGCAGCTAATAGTATGAGGCGAACATCTGTAACAGACTTAGCAGTTTGCTTATATGCATCAAAAGAATAGGTAGTGTAAATGAACTATTCATTTTCGACATATCGTATCAAAAGGAAGAGAAAAGAAAAGCACAAGTTTTGTATTTCTGAACTTAAATAGTATAAAATATATTGAAACACAGGAATTGTAATAATAATAGTAATAATAATAGTTATTATTATAAATCAAAATGTTTAAAGAGAAGTTTGAAAAAAGTTCTATTTTAAGTTTTACATCACACAATTCAGCTGATATTTCTGTGATTTTTAACATCTTACTTCATTGCGGCTTAAATAATTTATGAGTGCGAAATCATTTTACTTCTACTAATTACTCTTTAATTTTCATTTTCAGCATTACACTACACAATATCTCTGGGACATAACTACTTGTAAATGTCTTACTTAAAACTCTCTTTTTGATTATATCATATATCATTTTGGCTTCCCAAAACGCCATATCAAAATGCTCTGAACATACATTATTACATTACATAATGACTATGCAGGAGGAATGCGGGATTCAAAGTGGTTCAAGCAGGCTTGTCATTAGTTTGTCAAAACTCAATGGGTTGGAATTCATAGACATGGGGATGCGCTCTTTGATCACTCAGCAATAGAAATGGCAATCATGCACTACGTATGTCTGACTCTCTATAAAACAATTACCAAAACGAAAAAAAAATAAATAAAATAAAATGCACACCTAACCTAACCTAATTTAATGTTTTGGTATACCATAGGTAACTGAAAAAATCACCTGTTGACCACAAGCCAAACAAGCCACTAAACGGATCGGGCTTGCAAGGCAGGGGTTGCTAAATGCAAATGAGTTGGAGTGCAAAGTTCTGCGGCTGCTCCAGCAAGCGGAGTGGGTAGCGGGGCGAGGCGAGGCGGGTGACACAGGCCTGCCGTAGCAAGAGCGCCAGCGGCTAACCTAGAAGCGCGCAGCGGCCAGCGAAACCTGCAGCGAGCCCGCCACCCTCCGATGGACGGATGGACGGACGGACGAACGGACGGACGGGGCGAGGAGCTGGACGGCGGCGGCGTCCACGGTGTCGGCCACGGGGCGCGCGAGGCGCGGGGCGATGGCGGCGCGGCGCGACACGGCGCGGCGGCTGTTGACGCGTTGCCATGGAGACCGGCCCCCTCGGCTCGCCGCGCCCGCCACGCCGCTCCTTGGCCCAGTTGACCACGAGCAGACCCCAAACTGGCCCAGTTATGAAATGTCATACCACGCACGCCAGTGAACTTAACACTCGGACACCTGGGCAAATTTACTCCTTTAGAGTACTGAAGGGGTACGTGTTGGCTCTCATTTGGGTTTTATTTTTCCGATCATTATTTTTAATCAAAGTTGATTCTAATAGTTTCCCTCAATGTTTGTTGTTTTGTTATTTGTATTCCGTTAATAATTAACTTTAAGACCGTGTTTTAACTTACACGTATTGTAAACTTTAGAAAAGCATTCACAAACAATGATACGCTTGCGATTAACTGCTTTGGCACTGGCAGATACCTGTTTTGCTGGAATGCTTGCTGCACACCCAATCTTCACATTCACAACATTTGTTATTTCAACGTATCCACTGTTGAAAATAAGAATCTTTGAAAAATAATCAACAGAACACAAAATGTTGTAATAATATTCAACACACTCGTCTGAAGCGAGAATAGTGTAATCAGCTCCAAAAAAAGTTACGATACCTATGCGTATTGAAAAACAACGCAACTACATGTGATAACGTATCAATTTAAACCGCTCTCTTAAGGATTCGTGCAGAAAATGGTAGAATGATTAAGTGCCACATGTGACATGCAGTGCTGACGGGATAAGTTTTGGATATCATTGAGTGAAAAAAATATTTCCAGAAAAAAATATTCTTAATTAAAATTATTATTATTGTACTTTTTTCTACTGGTATATATGTACTGAAAATAACTGTTAACTGTTCAGTACACTGTACTAACAATAAATTTAAATATTAAAAGGTATTCTATTATAATTAGTATTTTAACTCAATCTATAAGATATTTCCAGACGGGACCCCAACATGATACTGTGGTTGTAGTCTTAAAATTCCTAAATTCTAAATCTAGAGATCTCCTGGCAAAGTCCGAGAAAACTATTGATCCTCAATTATCCTGAACCTAACTGTGCTATTGGAATGAATGAATATGCATTTAGTAGAAAATTGCATGAACTTTCAGAAATGTCTAATTCACTATCGTGAATTTATGCACAGATTTGGAGGTATCTGATAAAAACAGAAAGAGCACACAGTTAAATTTTGCTCTAAGAGGTAGGAAAGGGGCTAGGAATAATATTTACGAAATCTCATTCCGACAGTAACTTTTCTTTTAAAACTGGAGATGGGAATAAAACTGTAGATTTGCAAAAGTAAAAAATCAAAGTAAATTTACATAAGAGAAAATAAAAATTTGAAAACGTAGCCTAAGTCACTCTACCTTTCAGTAAAAGCAGTATCGGAACCAACTCAATCGTTCCAAACAAACAAACGTTGTGACAGAAATGGTGAAAACAATTATATGAGTTTTAAATCGTGTAAATTTCGTTATGAGATTAAAAACAGCAGTTATTTTGAAATCACAAACTAACAAACCAATTTTATTTATACAGAAGATAAGCTGAAGTACTCTGCTTTTCCCAGGCATTTATTAATTCACAATTATCGTTTAGAGGAAAAAGAACGATTTTATATATCCCCGCAATGTCGTCCCCATCTGTCCTACTTCATATCTTCCCCTTCCCGTCCGATATCAATCTACCCCGAACACCCACCAAGCTCCATCGTTTCTTCCTTCACCCTGCCCCACACCACCTCGCTCTACGTTGTCTGCCCCCTCTTCCTCCGCCTTTCCATGTGTCGTGGACACTCTCGACTCTTTGAAAGTCCCGCCGCCACGCGAGCACTGCACCGAGACGGAGGAACCAAGGGTCTAGTTCGGCCGTCGCCCGGGAGAGCTCGCCAGAGGCGGACCGCAGGCGCTCACCACACCCTGCCAAACGCCTGCAGCGGTGGCAACGGCCGTATACCTGCGCCAAAACTATGCCAGCCCGCGAGGAATATAATATATTATAAGACGATCCCGCAGCAAGGGGAGGACACAACAAGTTCGTCCACCGAGTAGTTCAGTGTGGCTAGCGGTTGTGTGGTAATAGTTTTTCTTGCAGCAATGTTTTGGACTGCGTTCTTGGACTTCTTCACAGTATACGGGAACTCTGCAAGTGTTTTGGACTTCTGAACGTAAGGTAATAAGGCAAGTTTTGGAACATCTCCCTGCTATTTGGATAACTGTTTTGCTACTTGTACGATTTTATAAAGTGGAAAAAATTGCAATAAAAATGTTGTGTAGCGAACTTTTGAGACCTGCTAACTACAGCATGTGTGCTACGATTAGAGATCCCCCCACCTCATTGTCGCTGCAACATCGGTGCTCCTGTGTAAACATTTACTGTAGTGCATTCCAAGTAAACTTCCAGGAACATGTTTGACCTTCAATTACTAAAAACCTAACTGCACTATCAATATTAGCCAAAAATAAATTTCATAAGAATTTTTATGCGCTTTAAGAACGTTTTCACTCACTTTGGTTAATTTGTCAGCCATTTCGAAAACTTATACATTATTCAAAATATCACCTATTTCGAATTATTTCGACATACATTCGAAAACTGAAAGAGTGCACACTTAAATTTTACTTTACAATAGAAAAGAAGAAAATGAATATTTCTTAAGAAATATCGGTAAACAGTAATGTGTCTCCAGTTTTTAAGGACACGTGTACAAATTTTCAATAAGATAGGAATAAAAGTGTCTTTATGCATCTATATTTAAAGCTAACATTATTGTTTAAATAAGAGAAAATACTTTAAAATAAAATAGACTGTTACTTGCTACAAAACACTACAATTTTCAGTGAAAACAACATTGAAATCAATCCACCCATTCCAGAGATTATTCAGAACAAACAGAGTCAGACATCGTAAAAACAACCGAAATGTTTTATATCATCTAAATATGCAAATACGATTATAAAAAATCCATTATTTTGAAACAGTGTATTTAGATTAGTGTGTCATGTGCACCAATTTTAATTAGGTAGATAGATAAAAAATAAAAAAAAACACTGGGTTTGTGGATGAGTCTCCCCTTTCATTTAATTGCAGAGAAATGGTTAATTAATAAGAGGAATGAGGCGATGAGGCGGGTCTCCTTAAGCCAAATATGTATTCGAATTACATATGTCTAAGTCGAATTGTCATATTTTTGGGCGATATTTTTCACAAGCAAGTTTAACTACCTTAACAAATACATTTTGAATCTCCCAACTTTTAGAGCATTCTATACATTGCAATCCATGCATGGTACAAGCATGCATGGCAGATGCTTTTGGGCTGTTCGTGGAAAAAGCATCGCGACCCACATTATGTAACTATGGATATATGATAAGAACACAAGTGAAGAAGGGAGGAAGGAGGAGGAGAAGGAGAAAGAAGGAGGAAGAAGAGAAGAAGGAGGAGAGGAGAAGAAGAGGAGAAGGGAGAAGAGGAGGAGAAGGAGAAGAAGGAGGCAGAAGGAGAGGAAGGAGAAGAAGAGAGGAGAAGAGAAGAAAGGAGGAGAAGGAGTAGGAGGAGGGAGAGAGAAGGGGAAGGAGAAGGGGAAGGAGAAGGGGAATAGAAGGGGAAGGAGAAGGGGAAGGAGAAGGGGAAGGAGAGAGGGGAAGGAAGGGGAAGGAGAGGGAAGGAGAAGGGGAAGGAGGAAGGGGAAGGGAGAAAGGGGAGGAGAAGGGGGAAGAGAGAAGGGGAAGGAGAGGGGAAGGAGAGGGAAGGAGAAGGGGAGGAGAAGGGGAAGGAGAAGGGGAAAAGCGAGGAGGGGAGGAGGGAGGGAGGAGAGGGGGAGGAGGAGGGGGAGGTGAGGGGAGGAGGAGGGGAGAGGAGGAGGAGGAGGAGGAGGAGGAGAAGAAGGAGGAGAAGACGAAGAAGAAACAACATACATCCCTTGCAATCGAATTTTGAAAATGATTACTTGCAAGTCACATCTGTACTAGTTAAGGACAGCTTCGATTCATTGACAGTATCAGCTATTTATAGCCCTCCAAAACACAAAATAACGTAAGATATGTACAGAGAATATTTCGATACGTACGGTGCAAGGTCCATCTCCGAATGTCACTACAACGCAAAACATACCCAGTGGGGGTCAAGGCTGTCGGTGATACAGGGCAAAACACAGTTCAACGTAGTCACATCATTCAACGCAGAGCCATTATCGACAGGAGAGCTGCCGGTCTTACTGGATTTCTTTATCATTCAAGGAAAAAATCAAAGCTTTACATAAATTGAAAATTTTCTACAATTGTAATCAGATCACTCCCCAGTCATATTAACTATTAGCTCTCATATAATATAAAACAATTGGAAGTCTATCATTCTATTAAAAAAACCAAGTGGAACGAATTTCAAATACGGCTTATTATAAATATTACTACAAAGTTCTTCTAACAAGGAAATCGATATAGATAAGGCTGTTGAACTTTTAACAACCAATATTCAGCAAGCTACTCCAGAAATGCCCATAACATCTCGCAAATATCCCAAAATAGTTGATGAAATGAAACGCGAAATGCGGGGATTTAAAAAAGTTAATTTACACATGATCCAAATGACAAACAAAACTTCAACAGGACAGTGCAATATTTTAAAAGATTTCTACAAGACCTACATACAAATGAAACCAAGAAGTGTCTCAAAAGACTGTCACCAACCAAAGACATTGACTACTCTTTATGGAAAGCCACCAGACGCATTAAAAGACCATTCAAACCTGTACCGCCTATTCGTGCTCAACATATTAACACGTCTACAAACCAACCGCGAAAAATCAACAATATCTGGAGAACATTTGTGAATGTTTTTCAACCGTTCCTATCTGATAGAGAAAACCAAAAAAACGAAATCAGGTCATTAATGTAACTTATCAAATGTCGCTACCAATAAAGTTTTTCAAGGCAATGGAAATTTCATATGCAATAAAATTGATTAACTCTCATGAAGCACCTCTCATGAAGCCACGAACTCACGTTAGGCTTTTTTTATTTAAGTCATATGTGACTACTATTGCATTTAACGGTGTGGTAACTGTGAGGATGACACGATATGATGATGAAAGGGGGTGAAAGTACGAACACAAATACAACCATGCCAGAGTCGTGACTCGAGCCCGCGATCCTGCGGTCCGAAATCGCTGCGCGCAGCTGCGGTCGGATATTTTGCCGTCAACCAACTTTCCGATATGAAAGACCCACAAAACGTGAATTCTGATAACAGCTTCTGACAACAGTCTTCTGATAACGGATGTGATAACTATGTCGCGAATTACATCTTATTTCTTTGATACTGTGAGACGACGAATGATAAAGTCTGGACGTGCGAAGGCTGATATAATATGCAAAAACACCCTTCATTGCTGGGTGAGGATAACGAAGCAAGAGCGTAGTGGTGCATTTTTCAAGGGTGACTTTTCGAATGTCACCAGAGACACTGGTGGTGCTCTAGTGTTGGTGCTTGGTATAAGTCATAGAAAGAAAAACTAGTTTACCACCGAGCTGGTTCCTCAGCAGTACAGCTACAATGCTCATTCCTGTATTTCCGTTCCTTAAAGGTAATTATTGTGAAGCCTACCTTTGTAACCAATCAACGTGTGGCCACGTTTAATTTTAACGTAATGTATTGTGTAAAATTTAATTTCAGAAATATATTCAAATTATTTAGCCTATTCTGTAATTTCCACCACCAAGTAGGAATTTTTCTTCAGTGCCCAGTTATTTACTTTCTAGTTATTGCAGCAAGTAATATCTGAAGTATTTTGGAAAAGAACCTTTTTGGGCATAGAACATAGTTTCAAGAAATAATTCTACTCAAATTTCCCAATTTAGAAAACTAAGCAAAATAATGTAACTGGTGTAGGTAATTGTCAAAGAAGTTGTCAGCTTGTTAAGTGAAAGGATGCTCCCATGTGATTTAGTTACTTGTCAAACTTCCGATCGGTGATTGTGATGTAACGATCCAGAGGTTGTTGCAGTGTCCATGATTTATTGCAGAGCTGGAAAGCGTTCATATCGTTCAATTGCTCGTAGATGGCGTTGATAAAGATGCACTCGAAAGAGGGGGTGTTATTGGTCGACTGATTCTTTCACAGACTACGGATTTTGACCGGCCACGGTGCTTCACTCGCGAAGAGCCTCCTTCATCTACTAGATGGCGTTGGCTCATACGAAAGGCGCGACCTTCGACAACTCGAGTGTTTCGACCACATAAAGGCCTCTTTCACTAACCGCTTGGCCAGAGGAGATAGGAAGGGAGTTGCGCGAGTGGATGGAAGCGCAACGTCACGCATCTGTTGGTTTGCCTGCCGTGGTTACTTTGACGTTAGTGAATCCCAATCAAAGGTAAGCATAGTAGTTTGGAAGTACTCATTATAGCATGGGATGGTGTAATTACAACATAAAAAGATAGTACTGTTAGTAAAACTCAAAAAAGTTTTTTTTCTGGTGTTTTAAATCTGAGTAGTCTGTGTGCAGTGAAATCTTGGAAAACTGCACAATTCGAACGTGTAACCCTCGAAATCTGTACGACATAAATGACTTCTAAAACGTGTTCGTTGAGCTATAGCCCACTGGTACGCATAAAAGCCTCGGCACTCCGGCCTGCTTCTTGTTCTAGCTAAAGGTTCCGCTACTCGCTGCTGGCGCGCTGCTTGCCGATCTTTTCTCGATCGGCTACTACATGCAAATATACGGAAATTCGCATTACAAGCAAAGAAAATTTCGACTTAAAGGCTTCGAAATCAAGTACTTAGCTTCTCCATTACTTTATGACTGACAGCTTCAGTGTTCTTCATGAACACTGGTACGAAATGTTCACAAATTACGTCAATGATCGTTATGAAATATACTGCGCTCTCTCTTCACGCAAGGAAATTGCTTCTTTGCAAAGCTGGCTTAATACATCTTTGAAGATTTCTTTTCAAACCCATCCTTTGAAGTTGTGATACAGCTTTCACAATAAATTGCGCTACCACCGATTAGCTTCAAGATAATTGTGATTCTTGGCGTGTTAAATCATAGCCCACTACTATGCGCGGCAATTCGCCGACTCCTATGTGAGCTAGCGAACCAGCGTAGGTTCTCATTCATGAAGTCAAGAAGCACGATTATCTTCAAATAGTAAATAAATATTAACATGCATTCTTAATGTGTTTCAAGGTTACTAAAATACATAACCCTTACTTTGGCTACCTAACATAACAGTTTGTTCTCAAAATTCGACTCACACCAACAAAGTGGCAAAATAACTTCTGTTTGCGGTCAATGAGAACACGCTGCTTCAAGTATTGAGAATAATCGTCAACTACAGTAATTGATGCTTCTCGTATTGTAACACTCTACAATTAAAAGTGATATATTTTCTCACAAATCTCATTGGAAATCACGAGATTGTTGAGTGTTGATTTTTAATTCCGATATCTGATGTGCTGCTCTATCATCTTTGTGGAATTTGGAAGCGGTCTATGGAAAGGATTAGAAATAATTTCTGCATTGTACGTCAGTTGATCTTCATGAAAATCTCTTTTCGTGTCCACGAGAGCGCCAAAATTAATTTTGCTAGTTGTAAGTAACTTTCTGGTTCTATCTCCATGTGAGAACGGTTTTGCCAGAGCAATGGTTATTTGGAGTGCTTTTCTATGAGTGAACTTTCCTGGTAATTATTTATATCAACGTCCGTTGTTCGTTTTAGAACTAGTTTCTTCCAGTTATTTCGTGACTTTTTTCTTCTACAACACACACTTCTATTTTGAGAGTGTAATATAGTTTAAAGAGTCAATACAGTTAGGAAACATAAAAATAAATGGTATAAAACTTACAAAGTAATACTTTGCTATTTTTTTCGTTTTTATATATTGATTTTAAAACGTTTAAAGGCATTATAGGCATTATAGTTCTCTACAAATACCTAAAATACAGTGAATATAAGAAATAATTATTAATAAATATTGTATTTTAGACGTCAAAAAGAATTGTTGCTGCATCGCTAACCAGGTAATTTCCCACACGCCCATTTGAGTGTTAGTTTGAAGTATTCACTACACACTTTTTTAAGCAAACAGCCCAGAGATATATAATTTAAGTATTGTTTAGTATTACCATCAACATGAGTATGAAATGCCTCATATCACTGTTAGTGACCAAATTTGACCGAAGCGCGGATATTTCCGCATGTATTAAAGCGACCCGAAGGTCTTCCAAATGGTCGGCGACCAGCGCTCCAGCGGCCTTAATGTGAAACTTCGCTCTCATAAGGATCGGCAAAGTGCCGTCGCTCTTAGGTATACTAGTAGGCTATTTTTGAGCTAACGAAAAGTATTTAGTTTATTCTTGGACCAGATTTTGTAAATTGCAAAGAAAATTATCTTCTATTTTCCTTTACATCGACGATCGAAGAGAACCGAACATCGAGGAATTCTATGTTGTCTCACAAGATCGAAATATTTTTCTCGACGTTTGCCTCAATAGTTTGAAATGTTTTATCTAAAACGTTCGAATACACCTCGTGCTACAGTTCGACATAATAGTTCCAAATCAAAATCTCCTTTCTGGTCATCTCAGCTTCCCGCTTTCCGGAACTTCCTTCCATTACGAAGCTTTATTTCATTATCACTGGTGTATGTCTACGGTTGGTCAAAATATGAGCGTATTAGAACGTACCATCGGTAACTTTCTGAGATTCGTCAAAACTGCATTACAACGCACCACCGGCATCTTTCTGTGATCAAGTAGGAAAGTGAGATTGCATTCTTCTTCCCTTCGGACCTTATAATAGCGACACGCGATTGGCAACACGTAGATTTCTCCCTCTAAGCGCCTGGAGCTCACCCGCTTTGGCGTTACGTGCGTAGCTAATTGTTAACCTATGGTACTCTCGGAATTAACATTCACACTGTGCCCCTTCACACTGTGCCACTGAGCAGCGCTTCCGCGTGGCAAAGCAATGGTTTAAATGAAGGTATTCACACGAGCGTCGAATTCACATTGTCGTGGCGCTCGGTGGCTATCTCTCGCCACTCGCGCAGACGCTCTTCTAGCTAATTTATCTTTTCTTTATTCAAAAGGTTTGAAAAATGTCCTTATGCGGGGTTTGTAATAAATTCGTCTTGATATTTTGCATCTTACGCTACACAATGGTACTAAAAAACAATCCGGTGGAGAGTAGGCTTCATTTGTTGATTTATTTCTCACATCGCGATATTAAAATTTTTTAATCCCAGAGAGGTAGCCCGCAGTCGGGTGACTTTTAATTGTACATTATGATACGTTGATGTAATGATGGGTATTAATACACGAGTGTGATATTAAAATACGATCGAGAACTATCATAAACTGCACAAGGGTGTCCGTTACATAGAGTTCCAGAGATTTTTTTTCTACGACGTTTGGTAACTTCTATAAGTCAAACTTTTACATTGAGTCGTTTCGGGCAATTGGCATGCAGGATTCAGCGAAGACTACCTAAGCGGATATCTCTCTACCCCTCCCTGCGGCAGGTGACTTTGGTCATCACTGCGCTAGTCAAATAGGTGCAAAGTGAAATTGCGATCCAATTTATTTTAAATAATAGTCCATTTCAAAAATTACTAGTAATAAAAGAAATTAAAACTGACAAGCATAATATAACATTAAATGCAATTTCCATGTAAAAAATCAAAGGAAACATTTACTAGCACGTTTCTAAATGACTAAGTAAGTGTCACTGCTTGGGTTTTAAACTTCTTTGTGATTGTTCAAGAACCTGTATCATAATGGAATCTTTATCGTAATGAGTACCATTATGCAATGGGTCGCAGCTATTAAATGGCAGAATTATACAATGGGAGAAGGGAAAACAGACTTTATCTTGATGTGCGCAGATGCGGGTGACGCCGCCGCTGCTCTCGGTGGCGCTGTGGCTGGTGCTGGCGCTGGCGGTGGGCGGCTGACAAGCATAATATAATATCAAATGCAATTTTCATGTAAAAAATCGAACGAAACATTTACTATTACGTTTCTAAATGACTAATGAACTGTCAGTACTTGGTTTTTAAACTTCTCTGTTTTTGGTCAAAAACCTGAGAAATCTTTATCGTAATGAGTACAATTATGCAATGGGTCGCAGCAATGAAATGGAAGAATTATATAATTTGAGAAAAAAATTATTCTTCTTGCTGTGCGCAGATGCGGGTGACGCCGCCGCTGCCCTCGGTGGCGCTGGGGCTGGCGCTGGCGCTGGCGGTGAGCGGCGGCGCGGGGGCCGCGCGCATCCTGGCGCTCTACGCCGTGCCCGGGCGCAGCCACTTCATGGTGACGTCGTCGCTGGCGCGCGCGCTGGCCGAGCGCGGCCACGAGGTGGTGGTCGTGTCGCCCTTCGCCACCCTCGACCCCCCCGCCAACTACACCGACTTCACCATCGCCGACCCCATGGACAACGCCGGTTGGTACCAGCGCTTAATTCATTGGTTACTAGTGATTCGTAAACTGATAAAGTCATTAGTCCCGTACGTGTAGTGCATGTTTTATCGAGGAATGTGGCGATGTTATTGTCCCGCTGGCTGGTGAGATCCGCCGCTGACCAACCGTCGGCTAGAGTGGTTTTCCTGACCGAGGTATCTCCAGGTATTGTACTAGCCGGTAAAATCTCTAAGCTCCAGATGTACGAGATAGTATAGTGCATTTAGATGTACGTGTGTGTAAAGTAAATGGTGAGGATAGGACAAGAGAGAGGAAGGAAAGATCGCGGTCCAACTTGTAAGAGTGATATCAACATAGTACAAACGCCAATTTGAAGAGCAATTTATGAGGATTTATAAACAACAAAATACCAAAAAACATTTTTTTGACTTAATAAGTGAGTTATGTGATCACAATCAAAACGTCGGTCTTTTCACAGCGACAACCGACTTCTATAATTTTGGTAATCTGTCGCCCGTGGGCATGCTGCTCTTCCTGTGGGACTTCAGTATCGGTATGTGCCGAGGCAATCTGGCCGATCCGAAGCTGAAGACGCTTATCCATTCCAAGGAGAAGTTCGACCTGGTTCTGCTCGAGGGATTTGTCGGCGACTGTCTGATTGGCTTCGCACACCGATTCAACGCACCTCTTGTTCAAGTAAGCCTGATGCTTAGTCCAAGCTATTTTTACGAATTTCGAAGGTAATTGTAAAGTTATATAAATACATGTACATCGGTTTCGAGACGAGCACTCGAGCTCATACTTTAGACATGGATCCGATCAGAGATGTTAGTTACTCAGTAATTACGGCGACGATGTCCGAAATAATAGGTCAAAAAGTGCATACGAACTATTGCATAAATTTTGTCTCTTCAGAATATTTCTTGTACGACAATAAACTATAACATTTATGATGATCGACCGCAAGCAACAGGATTTGAATCCTCGTCTAGACAATCTTTTTGAACTTAACCAAAATGAACTTTGAAAATGAACTTTGACCAAACTGAATTGGACGCCTAGAAGCTACTAAATTGTATCGATAGTTTTCATTCCAATACGACCGCATTATAGAGCGAACCAAACGGTTTTAAGTGTTTTGCTTATGGAGACGTTCCATCCAAAAAAAATTTAGCAACATACCCTTAAGTCATAAGTAATAAATTGCAAAAGAAAAGAGTTCCGATGTTACCTCACTTATTCTACCACATTTTTTGTAGACCTCCCTGTCTTAATTTGTGTAACCATTACGTTTTGAAGTGACCAGCATCCACTGCTAGGCTTCCACCCAAAGCCCCGTCTCACCTCTGCCTGGTTCTGCCCCTTATTGTTCCCTCGCTTGAACACTTTCGCAGATGAGCGCGTTCCACGGCGCGGTGTGGATGGGCGACTGGGTGGGCAATCCTAGCCCTCCGGCGTACGTGCCCGACCCGTTCCTGGACTTCGGCGACCGCATGACCTTCAAGCAGCGCCTCGTCAACACGGCGTTGGTGCTGCTGGAGCGCGCCGGCCGCGCCTGGTACTACCTGCCGAGGATGGACGCGGCGATGCGCGAGGGCTTCGGGGACCCCGACATGCCCCACATCGCCGATCTCGAGCGCAACACCAGCGTCATGATGGTCAACTCGCACTTCAGCGTTGCCTACCCGCGCCCCGCCGTGCCGGCCTACGTGCAGGTGGGCGGGCTGCACATCAAGAAGCCCAAGCCCCTGCCGCAGGTGAGTGTGAAGGGGAGTGGGTGCTTCTCTGTTACATCGGCAGTGTATTGAGCATGTAAATGAGAAGTAGTTTCAAACTAGAATTCATTATGTTTACTTCCACGTACACGTAGAGTAGAGAAAGTGACGCCATTCTAGTAGAATTCGTTATCGAGATTTTGGGAACTGAGAAATAAATATGTAAAATATATTTTTGTTTCGCTTCCTTATCTTCCTTGACACACACTTGAACCACACACGAAACAAAACAAAAAAACACATACACAGATACACACAAAACAACTACGTACTTAAAATTCCCCAAGCGAAAGAAGACATGTCACTGTCAATAGTTAACGGGAAGCTTTTTACGCCTAAGAGGAAGTCCAGTACTTGGGTTAATCGTCGGGTGGCTGTGATGTGCGCGCTGCTTTGCATTAACATCCGTAAAGAGGCGCCTGCAGTACCGGCAGCGTATAAGCGACTCTGGCTGTTATCTCACTACGTGCTGTGGAACGTCGTGTGATCTGCTCTGAAGCAATCAGGTTGCGAGAATTTGTTTACTTTCTCACAATCAGGGTTCGGTGTTTTTTCCCATCTGACTCGCAGGGAATAGCGGAGGCGATAAGGTTTGCCGGTAACGAAGGTTATTAACATGATATCAGGGCGTATCTGTTGGTCAGTGTTAATGTTTTGAGATTTAAATTATTTGCCATGTTGGTGATACCATGAGCGTAGTAATGTGTGGCAACAGCGCATCGAACTGTCAGTCGCTCATACGCTACTTGTACAGTAGTTGGTATCAGTAGCTGTCTCTCTTTCTCTCCCTCTCTCTCTCTCTTTCTCTCTCTCTTTCTCTCTCTCTTTCTCTTTCTCTCTCTCTCTCTTTCTCTTTCTCTCCCTCTCTCTCTTTCTCTCTCTCTCTCTTTCTCTTTCTCTCCCTCTCTCTCTTTCTCTCCCTCTCTCTTTCTCTTTCTCTCCCTCTCTCTTTCTCTCCCTCTCTTTCTCTCCCTCTCTCTCTTTCTCTCCCTCTCTTTCTCTCCCTCTCTCTCTTTCTCTCTCACTCTCTCTCTCTATTTCTCTCCCTCTCCCTCTCTCTCTTTCTCTTTCTCTTTCTCTCCCTCTCTCTCTTTCTCTTTCTCTCCCTCTCTTTATTTCTCTCCCTCCTCCTCTCTCTCTTTCTCTCCCTCTCTCTCTATTTCTCTCTCTCTATTTCTCTCCCTCTCTCTCTATTTCTCTCCCTCTCTCTCTCTCTATTTCTCCCCCTCTCTCTTTTTCTCTCCTTATCTCTCTCTTTCTCTCCTCTCTCTGCCTTTTCTCTCTACTTTTTCCCTTCTCCTTCCTTCCCTGTATCTTGGCTCATTCCCACCCCTCCCGGCGGTTCCGCGCCCGCCCGAGTGCAATCGGGGCCGTGCCGTGCCGTGGCGTGCCGCAGGAGCTGCGCGCGTGGCTGGACGCGGCGCCGGCCGAGGGCGTCGTCTACTTCAGCATGGGCTCCAACCTGCGCAGCGCCGACATGCCGGCGGCCAAGCGCGAGGCCTTCCTGCGCGCCTTCGCGGCGCTGCCGCAGCGCGTGCTCTGGAAGTGGGAGGAGGACACACTGCCCGGCCAGCCGCCCAACGTGCGCCTCGCCAAGTGGCTGCCGCAGCAGGACGTGCTCGGTACTACACCCCTCCCCCAACGCACTCACGTGCCCGGAGTCCAGGCGACAAAGCTGCCGAGATTTTTATTGTGCCTTTTGAATTAAAAAAACGTGAGAGGAAAAGTTGGACACTTGAATCCCATCCCTTGGGTCAAAGTATAGTTTTACTTTATCTTATATACACGTATGTGCACCTCGGAGAGTGAGGAGTTAGCTTACTGGCCTCTAAATGCCTAGTGTGCAGGTTCAATCCCGGTCGTGGTGGATAATTGAAGGGCGAAAAATCGACAGTAGCTGTCGCTCTTGTGGCTTGTAAAATGACCCTGGCATATGTCTGGCAAAATTAAATCCCACCGACACTACCCCGCTCTAACGAGATCTCACTTTCTCCCAAACAGATAGTTCGGTTATAGTTAACTGAGGGCGATATCTGGCGGAGAAACAGAGTCACACCCCGGCGTTTCAGGGGACCGCCAAGGAAGGTCTCCAGATCCGCCGCGGAAGTAGGCTTCCAAGCAAGCCTGATTCGGAAAATATACACATTACATAACTTTCTGCAGCGTAAGCGATAGGGAGAAGTAGTAAGCATGTCTCCCTGTGTGTGCGCAGCGCATCCGAAGCTGAGGCTGTTCATCACCCACGGGGGCCTCATGAGCACGCAGGAGGCCGTGTACCACGGCGTGCCCGTCGTCGGCATTCCGCTGTTCGGCGACCAGCAGCTCAACATGAACCGGGCCGCTGCCGCCGGCTTCGGAGTCTCCTTGGACTTCCAGGTACGCGCATGCTCCACCACGTTTAATGATTGCTTCCACACATTCACGCCATACGGTCACCGACAAAATAAGTGATGATTGATGTTTGATTGCTAGTGATTCCGGGCGCGTCGTCTGCTTAGGTTATTATTCCCGTAAGTGTTTAATGATGGGATCCACCCATTCACGCCATACAATGACAGACAAAATAACTGATGATTGATGGCTGATTGTTAGTGATTCCGAGCGCGTCATATGTTTAGGCCATTATTCCCTTAAGTGTAGTGTATGCGTTTTCCTCGGGAGGCGGGGGAAATCTGGATGGCGAGATCCGGCGCCGACCTACGTCAGCTACGGGTTTTCCCAACTAGGTATCTTCTATCGAGGGGGACCGCCCCAGCCGGGACAAGCTCTAAGCTGCAGACCAGTCTCCCGGCATATGGGATTGTGTAGTTCTTATAAGTGTAAGGGAGTGTAAGTAAAGGGTAAGGAGAGAACTAGGAAGTGGAAGGAAAGATAGCTCGCGGTCCATGGCCCGTTTGTCAGGGTACTGCACCGACATTCGCCTGGTGTTGATCGGAGAAACCACGGGAAACTCTCGATCAGAACAACCAGCCGCAAGAATTCTCCTCCACACATAGTTTGAATTATATCTAGCTTCCTAGCTATTGACGAAATTCTTGTCACCGTGGCTACTCGAATCCACGGATATCCGTTCAGAAGCATCTGATGATGTCCTGGGCCACCTCTCCCGGTACAGACAAAATAAAAAATACTGGTGTAACCTAATAAAGTGGTCGTATTAGTGTATTTTCTGATATAATACTGAATTGTTTTTTTCTTTAACTGTGGGATTCATTCGGGCGAGCAGTGTTTGCCCTCGCTCGTTTGCGAGCGAAGCTTGCCTGGCAAGAATGCCGCTCAGTTGAGCCTACGACCTAGAATACACCACACTTTCGTTGAAGCGCTCCATCTTTGCAGCAAATTATAGCCATGTTTTTTGCAGTCAAAGCAGCGTCCTCTGGAGAAACACAGTATTCTGGTATTTCGTTTGGCGCTGCTTACAGCCGAGTAGTTGCGGGCTGGTAGTAATATCTGAATATCTTCTCTTACTCTGTATGCCACGACCAAAAAGCAATCATTTAAAAAAGAAATCACAGTATGGAAGGAGAATGAATTGCGAAACTTTAAAAACACGTCGCTTCCTGCATCAGTTATATTCATAAGAATGGCAGCTGTTGAAATGTTATTGTAGTTACAATAAAGCCTGAAAGTGAATGTTATATCAATAAGAAACAAACAGATCACAAATAAGGCTGCAAATTTGTTAAGTTATATATTTGTAATGTAATGACATTTATTTGTACCGTTATACGGCGAACATACAACAGGCATTGGGAATATTAAAATTCTGCCCACTAATATAATTTAAACACAGGTAAACGAAAAGACAACAATATAGGTATAAGATCCGATAAAAACAACACGTCGATTTAGTGCAGCAGTTCTACATGCCACCATCAGGCATCTCTCTTGTTCCGACTGAAAAAAACAAACATGGCGGCCCCTAGTTCGTCGAGCGTCCACCAAGAGCGCTGAAATCTTAGGTTCCGCCTTGTATATTGTAGCTCGTTGAGTTGGTTGCATTGCGTTGTCGCAGGACCTGACGGCGGAGGTGCTGAGTGCGACGCTGCGGCGCGTGCTGGGCGACGCGTCGTACCGCCGGGCCGCCAAACGCCTGTCCGCCATCTTCCACGACCGCCCGCGCCCGCCCATGGAGGAGGCGGTCTACTGGACGGAGTAAGTATTCGTTCGCGTAGACAGCGGCAGCTTGTGTCTAACTGTTCCACTTTACTGCCTGTAATACGACAGCATATAGTACTTTATCACAGGTAATACCTCGAGTTCGTTTCCTCAGACACTGTCAGCTTGTGATTAATCCCCGACCCTCGCAAAGCGAGGAGGGGATTTATCTGAGAATTCCCAAAGCACGATTGGTATTTAATAGAGCTATTCCACAAATGAAAATACGTCCAACGGAGTTCCAAAACGCACCAAACTTGAAAAGAACTGAAAGCATGTTAAAATCAAAGAGGTTATCTTATCGTACATACACGGTTTATTACACATCAACACAACGATCGATACATACCGCCTCCTAAGAAAGATGAGTCGTAGCTTATTACTGAGAATTAGGTAGGAACGGTAAGAAAACTCGGATAGAAAAAGCGGTACTTTTTTTAGATGTACCGCCTTCATTCGGGCATTTTATATATGTAGGTAAGCATTATTGGTTTTAATTTCAAGAGTGAAATACCGGCTTCACTTGCGGAACATGACAAAGATTGGTAAAATGTATTTCTAGTTCCATGAACTCGTTGGAACCTACCTACGTAACTTAAGCTTCAAGGCCCATTCACAATGCAAACATAAACATAAGAAAGGAATCAACATAAAAGTTAGGACTACATCCATAAGCGGTTTCATTCACAATGCGTTCGCATAAGCAGAACACGTAAGACGTTAACTTAAAAGCTTGCAAGCTTCAAGCTTCTGTGCTTATACTTAAGTAAGACATAACGTGCTGAGATTGGTTAATTTCTTAACTCCAAATCGAGAATCGAAATAGTAGCGAAGTCCATAGACAGCGTCAGTCATGTACCATGGACCATGGACAAAGTCGATACATCGAAAACGATTCTCACATCCAACCAATAGTAAATTGAATGTCTCACAGCCAATAGAAACTCTTTATTGTGCTTAAGTTATTATTATACTTTGTGAATACTTCAGTCTGTCACTTCTATTAGTGTTTACATCTGTGCGTGATGTTCGTCCTTGCATTGCGAATGAGCCTTAAGGCGTCGAAACGCTTCGCCCTGTGTCGGCGGCGTTGCCAAATGTGCCCGCTTGTAGGTACGTGATCCGGCACGGCGGTGCGCACCACTTGCGCTCGGCGGCCCTGGACGTCGCCTGGTGGCAGTACCTGCTGCTGGATGTGGCGGCGGCGCTGGCGGCGGCTGCAGCGCTGGTAGCGACGCTGGCGTGGCTGGCGGCGCGCGCCTTCCTTCGCTGTCTGCGCGGCCCCGGCGGCCGCGTCACAGCCTCCAAGAAGCGGGATTAGACGCAAGGGGGCGGGGCCTCCAAAGGAGGGCGCGGTGCAGGACTTCAGCTCTGGCTGTTTCAGTTACACTTTTTTGTTTGGACGGAACTCGTAAATTTGAGGTGTGCGCAATGGAAAATGAGACTACAGTGATATGGCGAGAAGGTTTAAAGCCAACAAGCAAATTAAATTTCATTTGGAACAATACACCAGTAAATTATCACCATTTACATTGTTGGACTTATCCCAGCACGTAGAAAGTGTGCGGATGGCTTCTATGTAAAAACTCCTGGATTACTGAGAGATTCACTATTCCATAGTGGCTTGCAGGACGGAGGTGAATCTCTGACCTTTCAAAAAAGTTTTTAAGTTGCCGAATATATGGGAGTCACTTGGGGAGATATCGGGGCTGTAAAGAGGATGTTGCAGGACCTCCCAGTGAAACTTCGCAAGGAACGCGTGGGGTCTTCTTGGCTCTGCCCAGCTTTGTGTGGGTGATGCGGTGCACCGTTCCTTTGCTCATCGCCAGCTCAACGTGTGGTGTTTGGACAGCTCTGCCGTATGAGCTCATCCCCAGCCTCCAGCGTGGCACTGTTGTTCACAACGTGCGCCTGCCCCGGGCGTAGCAAGTCCTTGGTGTTACCGTTCCCGCCGCACCACGTTGATATCATCCGAATACAGAACAATGAGCGAGACACCGCTCGCCATGCACCTCGTGCATCCTGCGATAAAGAGAAGCATGCTGCACTTCTGCGCGAAGATATTGGATCTCTGCTCTTTGGAATGTTCTGGAGGCATCCATTACGCAACTAACTGCGGAAACAACGCGACCAACCTGAGTCAATCGCTGCGGCGTCCTTCTCTCCGCCTACGCAACAGAGAAAAACTATTGTTCAAGTAGATTGAAATAATTTTATTTTTCTAAACAACAACCATCAGCGAAGGGCGTGAGAGTAAATGAAAGAAACGTTGTCTTTTACAAAATGTTACTGTATTCCTTGTAATATTAAAGAAAACTTACCAGTATGTAATTTCATTTTCATAACATGCATTGCTTTTTTTACAAAACACATACGGTAAGTAGTATTTTAGAATTTAGAGAAATGTTCATGAGTGTAATAATAAACATGTGATTTTTTAAAGAATGTGATAAAATTTGTAAATGGTATAAGCGTATAATTGTAAAAAATATTATTTTATTTTTAAAATACGTAAAACTGATACCGCGATTCAAAATATGGATTTATGTTTCTAGTTTGGGAATAATATTTAAACCAAATACAACTTCAACAACCTCTTTTCTAATGTTTTACTGCTAATGTACAACTTTTTACTAATCGTTAAAACAAAGAAAGTATGAATTATTTAATTTCTTATTCAGATTCCTCTCAGGACGTGTTGACTAATTTTATTATTTTCTCAAAACAAGAACATGCTGTTTTCTTACATTTCGATTGTTCAACCAAAGGTTTCCCACAGAGATCACTCTTTTATGATTATCTTTCCTATCTTATGATTTATTGTAACGCATTGCAGGCAATAATATTGGAAATCAGCAAATAGAAAAGTGTGAATAACAAAGTGCGTGTCTGGTATTAGACGTGTGTGTTTTTGTAGGGGGTTAGGAATGAAAAACTTGGTAAGAAGTAGGGAATTGGTTGTATCCACAGGAAGCAGGAATACAGTGAGTCGCCAATAGTCCCCCAGATATACATACCACACTTTAATTAAGGTCTGTGACACACGAGTGCTACGTTAAAGCGCAATAAGTAACGTGTGTCTTTTTGTATAAGACAGTGTTATTCTAGGACGCGCGTTACTTACCGCGCGTCAACTCAACGCTCGTGTGCCGCGATTCTAGAGAAACTTCGACAAACCAAAATATAAATGTACACAAGGAGACCCGCTGGTCTAAATTAACCAATCTTGGTTAGGTGGCTTGTGAATATTCTGCGGGTTTCCCTTCCGAAGGGGAGAGAAAGCTGCAAGGCTGCACCTGCATTCTCGTGGCCAACGGCTAGCGCTGTTTTCGGCGACCAAGTGACGACCAGGCGAAGGGTTGATGGCCCATAAGGACGATCTCCGCAGGCGACATCGGAAGGGCGGCCGGAGGAAGCGCTGGATAGTGCACAACAGCTGGCGGATGTGCGGCAACACTGTGGACGGATAGTGGCGCACGTGCCCTCAGAGTTTTGTGCACCAGAGCGGCGTTGCAGGAGTAGTGATTGCCCACTCAGCTACTGGCCCTTGCTTATATTATAGCCAGGTAGGCAGAAAGGGAAAGATCTATTCCCTTGTCACCTCTGTTACGCGTGTCATACGCTGTTTTTGACACTGATTTCTTTGTGCTTTTGTCCTTTTGTTCTTTTTATCCTTTTGTCATTTTTGTCCTGATATTCTTTTGTACTTTTTTGGCCCATTTTGTGCCCTTCATGAAATAACTATGAGGAAAATGTTACCCCTACTTCGGACAAGAAAGGACGTGGAAAGGTTGTTATGAAGCAAATTTAAGAGTTTTGTAATGTTCAAATCACTTAAATTTGCATATACAAATAGGATGTTTTACAATTCTTTAAATACGTTTATATTTTTACAGTCTTTGATAATTCTTTCTTGAAGGACATTTGAATACAGTAATGAGTCCACTCTACTCAAAAACAACCAGACGTAAGATACCGGACCAAGCCGGTGGGATCCGCGGGTGACGTGGCCCGGGCTAGGGCTGTGTCCTGTCTGGTGGGAGATACCTGTTGGGGTAACCCGCCAAGCCTGCGTTTGGTCGGCGGCCGAGTCTCGCATCCAGTGGAGAAGATCACCGTCATCTCCCGCGATAAAGATGCACTTACGCTTATGGACTAATGATGCTTGGCAGCTAGAGCGCACGGATCATCATCAAGTTGCCCAACTTTTGGCCCCTTTCCATCAATCAGATGTGGCGAGCGGGCCCCTTACCACTTTTTGTTACAGTTCTTGATGTCCGATTTTACCTACGGTTGTGGCCCGCGGAATCCCACCGCTGGTCCGGTATTTTTACGTCTGGTTGTTTTGGAGTAGAGTGACTCATTACTGTATTCGAAATGTCCTTCAAGAAGAATTATCAAAGCTGTAAAAATTAGTAAACGTTATTTTAAAGAATTGGTAAAACATCCTATTTGTATATAGCAAATTTAAGTGATGTGAACATTACAAAACTCTTAAATTTGCCTGTTCATAAACAACCTTTCACGTCCGTGCTTGTCCGAAGTGGGGGTAAACCATTCTTCCTCATAGTTATTTCATGAAGGCACAAAAATGTATAGCCAAAAAAGTACAAAAGAATATCAGGACAAAAAATGGAGGGAAAAGGATAAAAGAAACAAAAGGACAAAAGCCACAAAAAATCAGGTGTCAAAACACAGTGTAGACACGCGTAGCAAAAGTGACAATGGAAATAGCGATTTCTCTTTCTGCCTACCTGGCTATAATTAAAAGCAAGGGCCAGAGGCTGAGTGGGCAAAATCACTGACTCGCTGCAACGCCGCTTCTGCGTGCACAAAACTCTGAGGGCACGTGCGCCACTATCCGTCCAACAAGTGTTGCCGCACATCCGCTGGCTGTTGGTGCACTATCCAGTGCTGCTCCTCCGGCCGCCCTTCCGATGTCGCCTGCGGAGATTATGCGGCCATCCAAACCCTTCGCCGAGTCGTCTTGTCGCCGCAGACAGCGCTAGCCGGGTTTCGGCCACGGAGAATGCAGGTGCAGCCTTGCCAGCCGTCTCTCCCCTTCGGAGGGTCTGGATCTGGTCTCCAAGTACCGGCCGCGAAACCGCAGAATATTCACAAGCCATCTAACCAATATTGGTTAATTTAGACAGCGGGTCTTCCTTGTGTACATTTATATTTGGTTTGTCGAAGTTTCTCTAGACCCGGCACACGAGCGTTGAGTTGACGCGCGGTAAGTAAACGCGCGTCCTAGATAAACACTGTCTTACATAAAAAGGACACACGTTACTTATTGCGCTTTAAACGCATAGCACTCGTGTGTCACAGGGCGTTAATTAAATGTTGGTATGTATATCTGGGGGGACTATTGGTACTCACTGTATTCCTGCTTCTGTGGAATACAACCAAATTCCCACTTCTTACCCAGTTTTTCATTCCCTAACCCCTACAAAAACCACACACGTTCTTTATACCAGACACGCACTTTGTTATTTCACACTTTTCTATTGCTGATTCCAATATTATGCTGCAATGCGCTTACAATAAATCATAAATAGGAAAGATAATCATAAAAGATGATCTCTGTGGGGAAACCTTTCGGTTATCAATCGAAATGGAAGAAAACAGCAGTTCTTGGTTTTGAGAAATAATTAAATTAGGTCAACACGTCCTGAAAGAATCTGAATAAGAAATAAATAGATCATACTTTCTTTATTTTAACGAATTAGTAGAAAGTTGTACATTAGCCAGTTAAAACATTTTAGAAAAGAGGTCTGTTAAAGTTTGTATTTGGTTTAATATTATTCCCAAACTAGGAAACAAACATCCGATATTTATGAAATCGCGGGTATCAGTTTATGTATTTAAAAATAAAATAATATTTGTTACAATTATACGCTTATGACCATTTACAAATTTATCGCATCTTTTAAAAAATCCACATGTATTATTATTACACTCAATTGAACATTGCTCTAAATTCTAATACTACTTACGTATATGTTTGTAAAAAAAGGCAATGCATGGTTATTAAAATGAAATCTACATTACTGGTAAGTTCTTCTTTAATATTACAAGTTAAAACCACTAACTTTTGTAAAAGACAACGTTTCTTTTTCATTTACTCTCACACCCCTCGCTAATGGTTTGTTGTTTAGAAAATAAAGATTAATTTTCAGTTCCTACTTAAACAATAGTTTTTCTCTGTTGGCGCAGGTGGGAGAGAAGGACGTCGCAGCGATTGACTCAGTTCGATCGCGTTTTTTCCGCAGTTCGTTGCTTGATGGATGTCCAAACAGGAGAAGCAAAGAGCAGCGATCAATGTCTTCCGCGCAGAAGTGCAAGAATGCGTCCTTCTATTGCGGATGCACGAGGTGCATGGCGAGCGTCTGTCCGCTCATCTGTTCTGTTATTCGGGTAGCGTCAACGTTGTGCGGCTCGGGAACCGGTAACACCAAGACTGCGACGCGCCGGGGCAGGCCGCAACGTTCCGACCACATAACATTGTGAAATAGTGCACGGTGGAGGCTTGTGGATGGGCTCATACGCAGAGCTGTTCCATCACCACACGTGAAATTGCCGTTTGAGTGGCGATGAGCAAGTGTAACGTATTAGCCAGCGTGCCTCATGGCATCTATTTGGTGAACGCTTGGTTGCGGATTAGTCTCGCCACAGGAAGAAGGGTTTTTCCGTAAAGGGATACAGAACGCTGGATGACGGGAGACACAAGGCGTTGGAGTTTCCGCTTATAGAAGCTTTTTCACTGTTAAAACAGCCGAGGGGCGTTTGGCGTGACGTAGTTAGGTCACGTGAGCCTCGGCCTATTATAACTGAGTGTACAGAAGCCAGTAGGTAGGTTCTGGAGACGGTGGGAGAACCTTCGTTGCGTGTGCACAAAACTTGGCGCCAAGAGCGGTGCATTATGCGAGCCAGGCTCGCGAGGCCTGGAGTCAGTTAGTTGACGAAGCCTGCGGACTTTATGTCCTTGGGTGACTGCGTCACGGTGGGACGCGAGCTGGCTGTGCGTGCTCCGAGGTGAAGAAGTGGGTGAGTGCACGCATTCACGCGAGTCTCAATCGGATTAGATCGCTCTGCGATCGCAGGCAAACCAGCCGTTGCGTGCGCCAGAACGGACTTGTGTCCAGCGTGACATCCGGTCACGGTAGCTAGGCTTTGGGTGCTGCGCTTCAAAGGTAGGAGTGGCGAATGCCAATCAAAACCATCTTCCAATCGGGTTTTGGATCGCTCCCGCGATCAGGGATTGTAGCGCTCTATCAGAGCGTAGGGTGTAAGTAGATTATTAAGTGTATATATTTGTTTGGTTTTCTTGTTAATAAATATATTTTGTTATAGAAAGCTCTGTGTCTGTTGGTCGCTTGTTGAGTATCCATGACGTCCAAAAGGGAAGGTGCACCGTATCAGCCCACACAAAGCTGGGCAGAGCCAAGAGCGCCACGCGCTCCTGCGAAGGTTTCGGCTGGAGGTCTTTGCAACATCCTCTTTACAGCCCGATATCTTCCCCATGCGACTCCCATATATTCGGCGGCTGTAAAAACTTTTTTGAAAGGTGCAGAGATTTCGCCTCCGACCTGTATGCCACTGTGAATAGTGGAATCTCTCAGCAATCCCAGGAAGTTTTTTATAACAGAAGCCGATCCTCACACTTTCTACGTGCTGGGATAAGTCCAACAATGTAAATTGGTGATACATTTTACGGTGTATTGTTTCCAAAAATGAAATTTAATTTGCTTGTTGGCCTTTAAACCTCTCTCGCCATATTCACTGTAGTCTCATTTTCCTATTGCG